GAGGGCCGGCCGGGCCGGGGGGAGGCGGCCGGGCTGTTCGTACCCCCTTCCCCCGCAGCCATGGGCAGGGACAGCCGGCAGAGCCGGCAAAGGAAACTCCCAGGGCCGAGGGGCGAGGAGGGGCGCCGCGCGTTTCACGCCCGGGCTGCGTCCGCGGTATTGCCGGGGGCTGCCGGCATCCCTCTCCCGGTGACCTCGCGTCGCCGCGGTGGACACCCCCACCCACCCCCCCCGGCAGTTTGCAGGTCTTATTCTTAATCAAGCGGCCGGGCTAATGAGTTTTCTTCCCTCTCGGGGACTCTGGAGAGGAGCTTCGCTGGGAGGAGGGAGCGTTTCAGGGAGCGGAGCTGATGGGCCTGGCGGGGCGGGGGGGCGTTCAGCAGCAGCCAAATGTTTTCCTTGACTCCTGGGGCAAGAGACTCCTCTCCGAGTCTCCGGGGGCTGACAGGACAGAGCCAGCTGCCGGGAGTGGCCAGGGCTGCAGTGGGCAATGCTCAGGTCCTAATGTGATTTCGTGTTTCTGACACCTCCTTTGGGCAGGGACCCTCACCTGGGCATGCCGACAGATAGCCAGGACCCCAGTGCTGGCCCTTCGCACTGCCTGGATTAGAGTGATGACATTAACCATATTCCCAAATGGCCGGCTGGCCTCATTCTGCCCAATCTCCCATTACGGACAAATTCCATTATATCTGAAGCTAAACAGATTCCTCATTCGGCACGCTTTTTTTTTTTAACATACTTAAAGCCCATTGCCGACACTCAGCCTCTTGAAGAGCCTGCAATATGCTGTCCTAATGCACGCTTAGCATCAGCCTTTCAAAGTGCAAGGGAGCGCGGCAAGTCCACGCAGGTGGCAGCGGGATCAGTGGTGTTAGCCAGCACTCAGGATCGCTTGCCGATGTCCCTGCTAGCCTGCCTGGAGTAGAGGTAACAGCAGAAAGGCCAGGCCACCTGCAGAACAGCTGGCATTTTAAAGGTGCTGCTGCAGTCATGTGAGAGCTTCCTTGATTTCTGGGTAGACTGAGCTTCAGTGCGAATGCGATCTTGGCTGGGGCATAACCACCCTCAGAAAGAATTTCTCCTGCACTTACAAACTCTCCAGTACATGCAGTGTTTACAGCTGTTTCATTTCTTGAATCACCATACTGCTGGTAGGAGGCATCAGCCAAAGGTCACCGGTTTCCATGCAACTCTTCTTTTTTGGTTTCTCTGAGCTTTGGTGTGAATCAAAAGAGCAGAAATCTTTTATTTCCAGATCAAAACAGGTTCAACTGAGCAAGGTTTGTTAGGCATGCTAGGTAGCAGTATAAGTTGGCTGTGTGAGTGGATTTCTGTCAGCTTCTTCCTGGGAAGGGAAGTGTGATTTCTTTTTTTTTAGAAGTTTTAGTATCATTTACATTTCAGCCTAATCTGGGTGTTAAATGACATACACTGGGAATTTACTACATGACCCCATTTGTTGTATATCATTTAAAACAGCCTTTTCAGCATAGGTGACTGATGTGTATGTAGAATGGGTGGGAAGGAGTGTGCATTAACACTGTTGACTTGGCTTATTGATAGTGAATTACAACACTTCTCCAGTGTTTAAATACATGCTTAGCAAACCTGGCTATGGAAACTAGCTTGGCTCATTAGCTCTGGCTGGGTGAGACTCCTGCGGCCAAGGCGGAGGGGATGGATGCGGTGGTGAAAGAGGCCCATCTCCTCTCGGTAAGCACAGCCGGTGGGGTGTTCTTACCATGCTGGGGGTGGTGGCAATGGATGCAGCACAAGTGGTGACTCAGCATCAGACTCAGCCTCCCCGGGCACCATAGGCATGGGGTTGATTCAGACACTTTCGGGGCTGGCTGTCGCACGCCGGCAGCCTCGCTCTTGCTGGCTTCACACTGAATGCCGAGTGGGGATGGTAGAGTCAGCCGAGCTGACTTGTGGAGCTCAGGTCAAGGGAAAGCTCCTCAGCAGCCCAGACACAGACACACTGAGGTCTCTGCCTCTCTTTTGGGGCCACCCTACATTGGGCCTGGCCCACAGCTAGGTAGCACACACTGGCTGACCTCCCGCTGCAGGCGAGCTTTGCTCAGTGAGCTTCATCCCGTATATGGAGGGGCTGCACTGTTTCTAGAGCTGGGTTTCGGCTCTGAGGGCAGCTGTGTCTCCCACTCGGTCTCCGGGAGCCCCTTTGGCAGTCCTGCATGTGCCATGGGTTACATACCCTCTAAAAATCATGGATCTGCCATCGGTAAACTGGCAATCAGATCATCTGCTGGAATGCAGCCATGAAATAATCCTAGGCCACCAATGCTGCACTGGCTTTCCTCAACAGCTGGCCTTTAACAATTGCTTCCAAAAGGTCAGGAAAGCCATCAGAAGCTCCAATTAGCTGTGACTGGCCTGGGGGACAGAGTGACACAGATGCTTTTTGAATAGGACAAAGGACTGAGCAAAGAGAAAACATTTTTCCCAGTCATTTCTCCTCTACTAATGCCACCTCACTGTCATCTGGCTGTGCTTTGCCCTTCTGCTGAAGGCCATCAAGCACAAGAACTGCGTTTCAGCTGGGTCAGTGTGCTGTGGAGAATCAGGCCTCTTCTCTTTCCCCTCAATGGTGGCCTGCCATCACAGCACCTTCTTTTTGGGGCAAGGAGCCTCACAGAGAAAGGACTCCCAGTCCTCACATCTGCCTATCACCCATTCCTTCTCCTTCCACACCCACCTTTCTTCAGACCAGACTCCCTTTTTCTACAGCCTTTGCCTTTGTCATCTGTACACCAGTGCCTCCCAGGAAATACAGCTTCCCTGCCCTTGGTGCCCTTCGGCCTCCTGCTTTGTGCCAGAAGATGCCCTGCCACTGCCATCTCCACTCTTTCCTGACTCTCATTCTGAAACAATTACTCTCTTCTCGGACCTGCTCCAAGTGCATTTGAAGAAGCCTGTGCTGATATATTTGCTACAGTACAGCATGAATCGTTTTGCTCCTCTCCTTTAGTTCTCGGCATTTCACAGATCGCCTCTCTTCCCCCTTTTCCCAGTTCCTTTGCAGGTCCTTCCTCAGATGGTTTTTCGAGGGGTAAGGAGCAGAGGAAGAAACACTAGCAAAGCCAGCTACAAAGCTTTCAGGGAGAGCAGGGCCTGTGCTGGCTGAGGCAGCACGAACTGGGAGGGCAGAGGACGAGGGAGCTGCCTTGTGCAGGGGAAGGACCTGAGGCATTTCGTCTGGGGAGCACAGTCTGGCTCTCACCCTTCACAAAGGAGGAGCTGTTTGGGATCAAAGCGCTGTTCAGCTGGGGGATGTTGTGGCACAAGATACTACATGGCAGTTACCTTCTCTTGGTCTTGCAGGAAGCTGACCTCACCTCTGACATTGCCATCCGTCCACCTGCCACATGCTTCTTTCAGGTGTCCCACAGTTTCTAACCTCCCAGCCATGCGGTGTAGCCATCTTATGTCCAGCTAGCCCCAGTAAGGATCAGCATGGGTCTGTATGCCCTGGGAGACACTCACCAAGCCTGGGCGCTCTTGTTGAACCCAGAAGTCAAGGGGAAGACTCCTTCCTAGTGTCTCCTCTGCCTCTTTCAGACCAGTAGAGCTGGTAAGGGAACCATTAGGACTTCCAGGCAATAACCATACATGTGGGAACCTGACGGCTGAGAGCACTGGTCCTGAGGTTGGGGTAGGAAACAGCAAATGGGAAACTTTGGTCTGGGAAAGCTCCGCAGAGCTAATAGGACTGGGCATCCTGCCTTCTGCTCTAGGCTGGTTCTTGTAGCTCATATCTGGTTAGGGTCAGTGTGGTCGGAACAGGTCTGACCCATCTTGTCTGTTAATGGATGTTTGGAAGGAGTTCAGCTGGAGATTAATTGGGAAAAGTAGAAAAAGAAATGAATACACTTATAGCATATTCATCTGTAAAGCATCTGTCTTTACAGAGTCCTAAGAACAGGCATACTGAATCAAACCAGGGGATAGTCTGGCCCAGTATCCCAAATGCCTGAAGAAGAGTAGAAAAACAATGCAAGTATATGTGCTTCTTTCATTCAGCACTCTCCTCGTCTCCAGCTGTGTTCAACTCACACTGACCCAGGTGTGGTTTCTGTGCATTGAATCATTTCCAAGAGGTTTCTTTTCCATGGGCTTGTCCTGGAACCTGCATAGACTCTAAGTATCCACAACATCCTGTGGCAAGAAATTCCCCAGTTCAACCGCAGCCTGTGTGAAGAACCATTGTTTTCCTCTGCTTTAAACCCAGGTCCTGCCAGCTTCACCTATTTCTTTTATTGGAAAAGACAGAAAACAATCAGTTCCTATCCATCCTCTTCAACAGCACTCTGAATTAACACCATGTTATTATCTGCTTATTACACCTGGTACCTAGAGATCTACTTGTACAGGGCAGCGTATAAAGATAAGGCTGAATAATAGTTGTTTTGCTGCAGTGTTTAACAGTCCAAGCAGAGGAGGCGGGCAAAGGGCAGAGGCCAAGTGCTTTGCAGGAGAGCAGTGTGAGCAGACCATTCTTATCACTGGCCTCTTTCTAAAGTTGCTTTTTTCTTTTGCAGGCAGCCCAGCTGGAAAATGTGGTGGTGACTCTCAAGCAATTTTCCTGTTGCTTCTCCTGAAGAAGAAGTGGGTCCTGAGCAGGATGCAGCAGCCAGCAGCTGGTGACAGGAGCACAGCCATTCCCTCACTGTATCCATCCCAGGCCAGCCTGACAGCTGACTCATACTATATATACCGTGTCATTGAGGATCCCGAGTGGTCACTCGCCACTGTCCCCCACCTCACTGAGCTCTGCCTCCAGCACATCATTCACAATTTTGAAAGTAAGCAGGAGTGCGTTTCCCCTGGGCCACACACATGGAGACAGAGCATCAGTCCTGGGGAGCAGAGGGTCAACAAGGCAGGCACATGCATCTGAAAGGCAGAGCGTGGTACCCAGCCCTGCCAAAGGGACAGATGGGGAGAAATATCCCCTCAGGCAGCTAGTTAAACAAACTGTTTAGTTGCTAAGTATGTACTTGTACACTCCAGGGATGGCTGTAGTCCTCTGGGCTGCTATCCAGGATGTGACTCTGCCCTAGCCTTGTCCTATCCTTTCTTCTTCCTTCTGTGCTCTGCTGGAGTCACTTGCCTCAACCATGGCCAGGACTGTGGAGTTGCTGTTTCCTTCTCTGGATTCATGCACGCATTACAGTAGGACTCAAGGATGGAGCCCCATTGTGCTGAGTGCTGTACAAAGAGATGGGGAATTGTTCCCGGCTCGGAGGAGCTAGCATCTCAGAATACATATTGTACTCACACCCTCAGGTCTTCTCCACGGCTTTTGGTGGCGATGTGACAAGTTATATCCTCAGGCAGGGAATGTGCTTTTGAAGCAGGTGGACTTATGAAACATAGCAAAACAGAGAAAGCATGTCTCATCTGGGAACTGACAGGGAGGGGGAAAGGAAGGGCCTACCTTTCTTTTTGGCTGACTCAGTGAAGTGGCAGCAAAGACCAAAGATAGGTCTAAGGCTATGTCCACATTGGGACCATAAGACAGTACAGAGGAGCTCAGTGCTACCTTATGCCAGGAGCTGATGGTACTTGGGGATCTGAGCAGGGACACCCTTGCAGTCCTATGACCCTGGTCAGTCAGTCCAATGCCAAATGGATTGGACCTACGTTGTGTGCACATAAAAGCAGTGTGCTCAGTGTCTTGGGGACCCTCGTGCCATTACCTGAGTTGTGCGGCTGTATCTTGCCCACTGCTGTGGCCTGAGTGAGCCCAAGTGAAGCTAGCCCAGTTCTGCTCATATGTGTCCCACCTCTGCTTGTTGTTGTGGGACTTTGTAGAGGTCACTGCCGTGGCAGCTGTACGACACTTGGAGAACAGACTCCAGGAAGAGGCTGTGGTAGAACTCTGGGTGTCCTTAGGAAGGAAATGCCACAGAGACAGCAAATATAAAGCTAACCCCACTTTGTGTCTCAAAATCTGATTTCCCGTGCACAGATAGGCCTCTCCACTGATGATTTCTGTTACGCAACACTACTGTGCACATGTCACCAAGCATTCATGGTATGAGTATGCATGGCTTTTCTCTGGCATTTCTTACCACAAAGAACCCCCACCAGACAGAAGCCAGCTGCAACTTAGGGTGAACATCAGGAAAGAGGCTGAGGGGAGAAAGCTCCTGGGAAAAGACAACTTTTATTTAAACATGGTGGACCTAAAGGCTAAGAGTGTGTCTCAGTGGAAAGGAAAAGGAATCAATTTGGGGTAAGACAGACACCTGAGTTAAGATAAAAAGGCACAAGGACTTGCATGAAAAGCACACAGACAGTTGTTCTCAAATATTGTCTTTCAATATGCTTAGAAGCCAAACGGAGAAAGTTTAGCAAATGACAAGCCAAGCTCTCCCATTGCTGTAAGGCTGAATTAGCTCTCTTGGGAGCAGAAGTCCTGCTCTGAATATAAACTGCATTCAAACTAAATTTAAACTGGGAGCTAAGTTTCTGATGCAGTTCCCAAATATTATGGGAGTAAACCCAATTATGCTGATGTTTTATTGTAAAAGTTAGAAATCCTACACAGAAATGTAGGAGATGAATCCTACACATTTTCTGCCAGCTTAGCTCCCTGCACCAGCTGCTGGCAACTGAGAAGAGAGCCAGTATCAGCAGAGGGGAGGGCATGGGCACGCAGCCTGGGGCCCGGGCAGAACCATAGTGCCAGCCATGGTTCTTACAGCCCACACCAAGCTCTCCTTCTCTTTATCCCCTCTAGAGAACCCTATTTTGGACCATCTTCTGCCTGAGCACCAAAGGAAGGTGCTGGACAGGCTCTCCACTGACCTTCCACTTGCTGTGACTGCCAACCTAATAAGCGATGAGGACTACTGGAAGAGGTGCTGCACTGAGCGCTGGCAAGCATGTGACATCTCCAACTATGGAGACAGCTGGAAACAGATGTTCTTCGAACGTCACCTGGAGAACATCCTGAGATGTTTCATCCCTAACACCACAGACCCCAACCAGGTCCTAGAGCTCATCCCACTCTGCAAAGACTACGTGCGGAAACTAGAGGTTGATCAGTTCCTGCCACCAGTGCAGATGGATCAAAAGGAGGAGAGGGATGACCTCTCCAATACAGGGAGTGATTTTGGATTCGGTGAGGTCTCCATACATCACTATGACCTGGGAGTCCTCATTACTGCTCTCCCTCACCTTGAAGAGCTTCATCTCACTTATGGCGTGAAGGACTGTGGCATGAACTTCGAGTGGAACCTCTTTAACTTCACCCACCAGGACTGCTGCAACCTGGCTGTTGCCGTGAAGATGTGCCACAACTTGAAAGTAACATATCCCAAACTGAACCTTCCTTCCTCAATTAGATCTTCAAATTGCCCCGGGATGGAAACCCAGGGACCAATTTTGCTTGCTGGCAGCTCCCTTCCTTTCACAAATTGCAGTCTGGCAGAGTGCAGAGATGTTAACTTGCTTGCTGAGTAGTGCTGAGTATCTTGTTCTGCGTATGTCCTTGTTAGAACAGGTTGTTAGAGGTGGGGTGAGAAAAATACTTGCTCCCACAAAACACATTCCCTGTAGTGCAAGAGAAAGCAACACTCCTGTTTTAACTCCTCACATAGTTCTGGGATGGAGGCGACAAGAAGCCCAGAGTTTTTCATAAGGAATTCTTGGTAGTTATGCTCAGTAAATACATGTCAACAGGCCCCAGAGGAGCAGACACTCCCAAGAAGAGCATGGGGAAATACTCACATTTGCCTTAGAGTGATGAGGTGTTCTCCTTCTGGGCACTAAAACCATCTTCAGTTCTGTGGCAACCGCAGTGCAGATACTGAGCCTCCCCAAAACACCAGTGGGTTTTGCTATCCAGAGTGCAGCCAGAGCAAGCTGGCTGAACAGTCTCACCACAGATTGGTGTGCTTTGGGAAATATTTGTCTGCTTGGCTTCCAGAAGAGAAATTACCTCTCCTGTAGCTATTAAGGTGCCCTGGCCACACAGGACAGTGCCCTTCACAGAGAGCACTGTAGCTACTACCAGTGCACATGCTCATTCAGATAGTGTTCGACTGTGATCTGGGCTGAGTTCTGCTGTTACTCTCTGCAGACATTTGGGCAGCTTTATCTCATTTTAATTTAGCCCCCAGTGTCGAGATCCCACAGAGTCAGAAGAGAGGAACAGTCATTTCCAGGAGATGAACCATTTCTCCTTAGAATAGGCACATCAGTGGCATGCCCTGCCTGCTGGAAGTATCTGCCCACTATAAAAGCAATTACTTGATCCTACTGGCTAAAGGTGTCTGAAGTGAAGGGAGATGAATGCTGTCCAGTGGACCATAGACTTAACTCCCTTGAGGTCTTGCACAAAGCTCAATATGAAGTGCTGGCTGTTTTAGTGTCCCTGTCCTTTATCTCCACAGGTTTTCAAGCTGACACGAAGCAAAGTGGATGATGACAAGACCAGGCTGCTGGTCCGTAACTTGCTGGATCACCCCTGCTTGGTGGAGCTGAACTTGTCCCACAATCTCATCAGGGACAAGGGGGCACAAGCTGTTGGCAAGTTGATCAACCACAGCAGATTACAAACCCTTGATCTGTGTAACAACCAGATCCGTCACCTGGGGGCTCAGGCTCTTGCTCGAGCCCTGGCTGAGAACTCCACTCTGACCTCCCTCAACCTGCGCCTCAACTGCGTGGAGGACAAAGGCGGGGAAGCAATCGGCCGTGCCCTGCTAACCAACACCACCCTGAAGTCCATCCATCTGGGAAGTAATAACCTGTCAGAGCCAACTGCTATGCTTTTCTCCCAGGTCTTGGCTCAGAACACCTCCCTGACGAGCATCAACTTCTCATGCAACCATCTGGGGCTGGTAAGAGAAACCCCTTCTCCCTGCAGTTTGTGAGCCTGCGTGGTGGCCTTGCAAAGCAGATGCTGAGCCTGCCCTGCCTCAAAGCCACAGAGGCAAATGCATCCCTCACTTTGCAATCTTGCTGCAATAACAATCAGTTGCGAGCAGGGAAGGGACTCTAGCAGACAGCAGGAAGGAGAAGGACATCTGTGCAGGCACACACATTTGTCTCACTCATTACATCTAGCTCTGTTTGCAGGGCTGAATCCGGCTTCCAGGCTTTGGGCTTTTGGGCAGAGAGGGGTTTTCCCCCCAGGAAAATGAAAACCAGGGAGTATGTCTGGGAAAAATCCCAGCCACTTCACACACGTGGGAGTAGATAATAATGATAGGCGGCATGAGACATGGGCCTTATGCATCAACTCTGTGCTTTAGAGCTGCTGTGCCATCTGTCACTCAGCAGCACACAGATAGTGTCACCCTTCCCAGAATCTCTCCTGTCCATCACACGCTCAGAGGAGACTTAGAAAATTGGCTTGGTTCTTGAACTTGTTTAACTCACCCTGCAGCTCTGGAGTGGTGTGGTAGGTCAAAAGTGTCACGTCTGGATGCTTATAAGTGGCTCCTAAATCACAGGCTTACATTTTCTAGACAGATGAGCATCCACAGATCTTACTACATCCCTAAGAGCTGCAGTATGCAACATGCCCACAAACCAGATCGCTTCTCTTCTGCTGATTAAAAAGTGCTTTAGAAATCTGAAACTAGACAGCCAAATGTAATCATGCTGGCTTTTAAACTTTCTGCGTTGCCTCAATTTTTCTTACTGTCACAATAAAGAGAGCGTGAGACCAGCTGTCCCTGCTGGCAGGAATATTGGCATCAATGTGTTTGACAACGGTTTTTAAAGGATTTGATGGCAGAAAACCTTTTGTGAATTCTGAGTTTTATGACCCTAGACATGGAAAAACCATTTGAGTTTAATGATACAAGGGGGCAAAGGTTGGAGAGGATAGAAGGATTTTTGCTTAGTAAATAATAATCTCTATGCTTAGCATCTTCCTTCTGATGAGCTCTCCTGGTACCCACTTGTGAAGCTCCACAGCAGCCCAGCAAGTGGACTGGTGGTATTATCTTTGGGGAAATAGGGGTCTGTCTTTGCTAGAGATGCATCAAATTCTGACCTCCATACCCCATTAAAAAGGGACCCCTTCCAGGTCCTTTTTGCTCTGTCCTTTTTGGCAAAAGGACTAAGAGGCAGGGTGCTGGGTTGAGGGGACCACTTGGATGGAGGAGATGGGGGCAGGAGGTGTATTTGGTACCTGAAAGAGAATAGCTGTGGGGGAAAAAAAGTCAAATTGTTGCATCCCTAAACAATGTTTCAGGTAAGGGAGGGAAATGCCCCTAAGCGAGTTGCCTCCCTAAGGCTATCTACATGGCATTTTCTGTCCTGTGCAGACTGGACTTCAGTTGCATGAGCTCTTCCACCCAGGAAAGCTGACCCAACCTGGGAAATGGCATCCAGGCAGGAGACTGCCAGTACTGGGGCTCTTGCCACTGCTGAGATGAGGAGCAGCACACCTGGTCACACTGCCATTTGTCCCCAGTCAGCAGTGAGCTGGGGACCAGGGGACAGGGGAGAGCAGACACTTCTCACAGGTTATCATTGCCAGCCATGCTATTAACCAGCCTGAGCTTGAGGACTCCTGACACAGTACCCAGAGGGAGTCATTAGCATGTGTCACATCACTGAGTGCTGCATAAGGTTACACTCCTTCCCCGTACTTCTGTGAGCAACATTTCGGGCTTGTGCGAAGGCCTTTGTCACTTTCGGCACCATCTCACGGGCTCCCCATCAGTGGCAGCAGGGAAGTGCAGGAGAAGTTGCCTTGGGGAGGAGCAAAGGGAGCAATACACTTCACTTTTGGATCTCCTCCTTTAACTCCCCCTTCTCACCCATTTGCAGGATGGCGGGAAGCAGCTGCTTGAAGGGCTGGCGGATAACAAGGCTTTGACCGAGTTCAACCTCCGCCTGGCAGAGGTGGGCCAGGAGACCGAGTACCTCATTCACCAAATTGTGTGGGCCAACCGGGAAGCGGCGAGGCTGGGGTCTCTGCAGCACCCCTCTGCCAAACCCATCTGAAAAAAATGCTCCAGAGAGCAATGAGCTTTGCAGGTGCAGTGTTGGAGATACTTTACTTCAGAGGCTTGGTTTTGTTAGTATTTCTGAGAAACACTCAACTTGTGACTGCCACCACAGCCTTTCCCAGATCCCCATCATCCAACCTGTGACTTAATACGAGACAGACATTAAACCTCATGGGACTGTAGTGGCATCACAGAAGCAATCTGCCTCTTGAGCCCTCTCTCCCACTGCACTCGAGACTAAATCACACCTCCTGTGGTGTTTCTTGCATGCTCCGGCAGCAAGCTTAGTTCAGGCAACTGGATGTTGTTCCACCTGTAAAGCAGCTAAGGTGAAGTCTTCACCATCTAAATGGTCTAGTCCAGTCCAGACCTAACCTTCAGGGCAGGCAGCTTTTTTAGGCTTTTTGCTGAGGAGGATGTGAGGTGGATAGAGGGAACGCTGTTTCTAGTTCCTCAGCAACTTTTTCTGGCTATTGCTCTGCTCAAGGATTTATTTGTTTTTATAGCAAAATCCATCTGGAGTCTCAGATATGGGTGGTGAAAAGTAAAACAATATAAATTCAATAAATGATAGGTCTCTCCACTGCGGTTTCCTGCTTTGGGTTGCTATGTCTTTGATCAGTGCTAGCCTGCTTTGCAAACAGGTGAATTGTTTACAACCAGATGTTTACCTTAACTAGTAGTGCTCTTCTGTGCAAACCTGTCAAAAAAATCTGTGTTTTGCGTAACTTCAAGCTAGAGGGGTCCCTGCAAGACTGCCGGCCCACACAGCCCCCAGGGTTGAAAACGGAGCAGCTTCCTGGGGCTTGGAGGAAAACGGAGCAGCTTCCTTCCGCCCCATGGGCTGTGGCCACCTGAGGACAGGACAAGGCACTTACTTATCTGACTGCCTCGGTCCTTTGACCACCCCACTCGGGAGAGGTCAGCAGGGAATTAAGCAAGCGGGCTGACCTCCATCCCCTCCTGCCCTCTGAGCAACACAGCGGCTTCACATGTCTCCCAGCCCTGTCCAGCACCAGCACTCACAGACCCACCACTGGCAGCCACCTCAGTGAATCATCTGAAACTTTTATTACACTGATTTGGTTTACAATCTTTGTACTTTTATATTTCCAACAAAAAAGGCAACATTGTGATATACTGTTTGTACATATATAGAGACAGACAGAGCTAGATCATATTGACAGAGTTGAAAAGTAAAAACTGTTTCCCAGTGTTCACAAAAGAATTTGTTCACCACATACCCGCTTCTGCCTTGTTCTGCCTGATGGATACAGACGCCCACAGTGCCGTCAGCTGCCAGCCCCCAGCCGACAGGACCTTTACCTGTGCCGTATCACACCCTTATAGATCAGAAAGGATGGAGTGCAAGGCTATCCCCAGTGGCGGTGGCCATGCAAGGGGTGCCGACAGGGCTCAGCTCCAAGCCCTCACAGGTCTGTGCAGCTCCCTTCCCAACTATTCACGGATGTTCCAGGGGCTACATCCGCAAGAAATCCTGACCAGCAGCAGCAGCTGTGAAACCTCCCCACTTGGGCATCTCCCACTACTTGTTTTCCATCCTCGAGACCGAGGTATTGAATAGATTTATTTCTTTTTATTTGCATTTACAAAATATTTCCACTGAATGACACACCTGAATGAGATGAGAACTCATGTTCAGAAACAGCAGAAAAGACCCAGATCAGCATCAGGCTGATGAAGGAACAGCTCCAGCAGTGAGGGTGGGGTGGGGGCTTAATGAGGGTGGCCTGGTCCTGGGCAAGCCTGCCTGTAGCTCCAAGTATAGGGCTGCATCTGGTCAGTCAGTTGTGCAATGAAAGCTCGTGCTGGGAGGGCAGCAGTGAGATCCCTCAGACATGCTAGCAGACACATGAGGAGGAATTGGCCACCAGAGCCAGTGAGGAACAGGGACAGGAAGAAAAGGGCTTGAGAAAACGTATTGTCACCAGAACAACTGTTGACTTGCTTTCCAGGATACTGACGGCTCCTCCTCCTGCAAATGGCTGAGACTGTTGACACCACCAGAGCACCCTCCAAGCCCGCTCCTGGGCTGCCACATGCAGGAATGCCTGGACAGGTAGCTGCTGCCTGGAGAACCCTTTGCCTTCCCTCCCATAAATCTCTTGGCCAAAGAGCAAAACCCAAGCGAAGCAGCCTGCACCATTCGCCCACACCCAAGACCAACAGTCCACCATCTGCCAGTTTTCAAGGGTTGAAACCACTTCAAAAGCCATACGCGGTAGTCAAAATGAAAGCCCTGACAGCAACAGCAGATAGTCTGAGTGTGAACACCCCTGTCATTGGGAGGTCACTTGTCAGCTTCAGGTCCGGTTACTGTGGTGTGGGACTGCCTTGCAGAGTGATAACTAGCAGGTCACTGTGCTGGGAAGGGCACGTCCCAGCGCAGGGCCAGTACGGACCCCTTAGCTTTCCCATGAGATCCATCCCCAAGGAGTACTGCAGGGCTTTGAGGGGGGTCAGCTGTGGGCTTCCATCTGGAGGAGAGAATGACCTCCAGCGCCTTGCCTGGGAGCTGGTCTTCCCTCCTGCCGCCATCCACCGGTGCAGTGTGAGCGGCACTCAGCAGCAGAGGGACCCTAGCCAAGCTGGGAGCATCCCCCCACCCATGGGTCTGTGCCAGAGAGATGGGGGAAAGCGGGGAGTGGCTGGGAAGTAAAGGAGGGGGAATGACACAAGGGCTTGCACTTGGACTATGCCAGCGGGTGCCCCATCGGGCCAGAGCAGGGGCACCCGGCTGGCTCCCTCCCGCAGCAGATGGCAAGCCCCGCTTCTGCTGCCCTGAGCACAGCGCGCACGGCGGCAGGAGCCGGTGGCTGGCTTCCCAAGCCTGCCGACTTCTGCTCACAGTGACCCAGGCATCGATTTGCAAGGTGTCATGCTGGCATATGTCGTAAACAGGACAGCAGGTTGATTTCGAGCACCAGCTGGGGGTGGAGAAGCAGGCTGCCGTGGGGATGGGCAGAAGCTGTGCATGGAAATGGTTGCTGTGTTCAGCCTCCCTTTGCTCCCACGGAGCTGGATTTGTCCACGCTGAGCTTCTGTCCCTGCCTGCTGGGTACCTGCTGGCCCTCTGTTCAGCCAGCTGAGGTGCTGGTGGCTGAGGTTCAACAGCAGAGGGGAAAATGGAAGGGAGCTGTGCACTGGCCCCAGGACAGCATAGTAGAGCCATCTTCGGACTGGGTGAGGGCTTGTGCTGGGACAGGCTTGGAGCATTTCCAGGTCGCCTCTTACAGGGGCAAACTGTGAAACGAATTGGGGAGTAAACGGCATGTTTGTAAAACACAGCACCAAGCACCACTGGCCCAAAACACGCACAGTGCAGGCCAAAGCCCTGCACCCCAGACAACTGACACAAGCTCTCCTGATCGCTGGGGACCCACCACTTTATCCTGTCAGCACCTACACCACCCATGCCCTGTGTGCAGTAGCCTGCCTCCAAACTCCCTCACCAGCTAGCTCTGGCCAGGGCCCACGCACCACCCTGCTGACAGGGCACTTTTGGCTAACCTAGACCCTCTCCTGCTTCTTCCTTCGATCGCAGTGAAGAGGGATGAAGCCTGAGCTCATGTGGCTGGGAAGCTAGGGAGCAGCGCTGAGCCAAGCCCTGCATCAGCTTCCCTAGGCGGAGGGGACGGGTCGGAAATGAAGCGTTCCACCTCCCTACAGGCTATGCCTGAAATAGCCAAGCCTGTCAGATCCCTGTCCCCCACCGTGATGGATTAGCCTCTCCAAGGCACAAGGCAATTTATTCATTAGTGACATTTACACCTTGTGGCTGCATTAGCCGTTGCGGTTTGGTGACACGTGCTCAAGCTGTCAGTGCTGGGCTTGGAGGCAACATCGCTGCTCTGACAATGCAGCGAGGCTTGGCCTGGGCACCTCAGCTTGGAAATACCTCCTGCTTGTCTCCTCTGGCAGAGCATGCACAGCCTGCTTTGAAAGCCCACTTTGTTCCCAGACTTCTCCACCAAGTGTCCTGCTGCCTCTGTTTCCCCCACAGCCTCCCTGTCTCCCAGCACTGCTGCTCCAGCACAGCAGGCTCCTGCCCCGTCTTGCCTTGTGTCTCCCATAAAAACCACCACATCTGTAAAGCCTTTTACAGCTGTTCTCATACAGCCCCTCCTCTCCACATGTCTTGCTGAGTATTCACATGCGACTTCTGCCCTCCTTAGCTAGCTCCTCCATCAGCTGCGCCTTGTTCAGCCCACAGCAAAGCTGCCCTCAGTCCCAGCGGAGAAGCACAGAGCCCATGTTCGGAGACTAGCCCAGGAGACACGCTGCTTTCAACACAACGCTGTCCCCTGGTCCTGCACTGCCACGACAGCTGACCTGCCTATGGTCCCCAGGGACAGCACCAGGGCTCTGGAAATCAGGACCACCAAAACATCAAGGCCTTCTATTTTCTAACTTCGGTCTGTTGAACTTACCCTGTCTACAAAGGCTCAGAGAAGTGCTGTGAAATTCTCTGGAAAAGCAGAAAGTGATGCAAAAGAGAGGCCAGGATGTGCTGCAATGCTCTGCAGGCTGTGCTCTCTCCGTCAAGCAAGCACAAGGCACGCCAGGGCAGGGAGCATTGTCAGAAGACTGTGCACAGGCAAACCAGCAGGTTATGGTGTGGTCTGGCCACCAGCACGCCTGAGGTCATCATGCATCTGCTGGCGTTTCACAGCTGGCCCACGGCACCTAGTAGGGAGAGGACTAAAATGATGTGAATGCACAGCCTGGGAGGAGTTCAGGGGAGGGGTGTGCTTTAGCTAGCTGCTAAAGCTAGAGGAATGACAGTTTGCACATCGGGTTTGTGGAGTGTGAGAAGAGCTGGAGAGTGTTGGCCAGGGAGCAGATCCACCAGCTCTCCTGTTTCAGGCAGCCAGCAAGGGATTAGCTTGTTCTCAAACACAGCTTGCTCCATGCTTTTATCCCTGCTCCCTGCCACTCACTGCAGCAAATGTGACACTTCACACTATCTCCTCAGAAAAACCAGGTCAGGAGTTTCCTCTCATGAGGAACAAGCAATGCTCTGTCACCCTGCAAAGCCCTAGCCACAAGGACAGATGGGTGATGCTAGACCAAAGCCACAAACCCACCAACCCTCTGCAGGGCCGCAGGTCCCGGCTATGCACAAAAGTATGCAGAAGCCCACCCTGCCAGGCACAGACACCTCCAGGGGCAGAGGAAGACTTTAAACTCCAGACTCCATTCCTGATCAGACTACCCCACTACAAAGCCACAGGGCCTCCATCCCAATCTTCCTTGAGCATTCCTCTTCACCAGTACTGCACAATTCTAACAGAGCTGGCTGAAGTGTAGTGTTTAAAACCACCTCATCATCAAAAATTAGATTTTTTTAGCAAGGAAGAGCAGCCTGAAACACTTCTCACAACTGTTAAGGCCTTTTAGTCTCATTTCAGTTTGAAAAAGCCGTTGGCATTTCCAAAGTGAAATCCTGTTATTTTGGGGTCTAGTTGTCACCGCTTTTTCCCCAGCCGGCTGAACGGTGCTGTACATGCTGCTTCATCAGATGTGCCATTACTTGCATTCCCCTCTGCTCAGCCCCTGGGGACAGGTTCTCCCTGGGAGGGCAGGTACAACACAGAGCCCACCAGCTTCTGGCTGGGCTGAGCAAGAGGTGACGTCTGCTTTCAACTGATTCTCTCTCTGCATCTGCTTCTGGAGACGCATATAGACTCGGGCTTGGGTTTTTCCAAATGTTTTCACCCTGGCCGGTTCATGGACTGCCATCCAAAGTCCAAATTCACGGCACGGCAGCTGATGGTGCTGCTAATGGACATTGGGACCATGGGACTGATACAAAATACTAAGTCATCTCACCACATTCTAGCTAGGCTTTTTCTTTCACTAATGTGAGTAGCTAAGATAGCAGAAGCAGCTTGTGCTGATGGAGAGTGAAAGAACCTCATGTGTCTGTGTGTGAAGTTACTTTGTTCTAGAAAATCCGCTAAATTATAATCACAGTAGGTGATCCATCCGTTCCCGAAGTTCAAAGGACTGGGGAAGGTTCAGGATGGGCACCAATTTCTCACAAGCTTCATTTGCCCAAATTAAGTTTACAAAAACCAAACAAACGAACAAAAAGCCCCAACAAAAACAGTCTTCCTCGGGAGGGAGGGAGAAATAAAACCCACTTAGCTTTCCAGCAGCCCCTGTGCTTATTCTCAGTGCTGGATGGCCACGCTGCACATTGATATGGGCTCCTGAAAACTCGGCAGCTTCTGGAAGTGTTGCATAGGTGGATGATGTACCTGTTAGTAGACCCTGTTTATGAGCTGCAGGATGAGGAGCTTGCTGAACTCCACAAAGAAACTGTCCCTCCCCCAAGACAGACAGACGAGGTGAAGAAGGAAGAAGGAAGGGGAGGCCATGAGGCCATGGGTATTGCAGGTTCAGTTCTGTCCTTGGGATCTCTCTTCCCTCGTGTGTGGAAAGGCTCCGGTCCTGTGGGAGAAGGCTCCTCTCCCAGCGCAGTGGAGGTCAATTTGCTTGTTAGCCTGCTTTTGAGGGAGTTGACGAGATCGCATCCATGGGCATAATGTTTCCCTTGGCAGAGCAGCTGTGATGGAGGCAGTAGAGCAGAACAATTCAACCCACTGCTTGCAGAGACAGTAGATATTCAACATTCATTCATGTTGGCCAAGTCCCAACACGAACTCTATGCATCAAATCAACACTGTGACAGATCAATTTGTCTGGACTCAAGGACAGACCACTCTAAGAAGTTGCTAAGCCAAGCTCACATTGGTATAGTACCACTGGCTTCAATAAAATTACACTAGGAATGAACATAGCCCATTAATTTCTACCTGAAATGTGGCTAAGCTCCTTTCCCCTTTTTCCAGAATGCCCACAAGGAAAAGAGCCCTAGGCAGGCTCAGCCCCAAGTCCTCACTGGGCTCCCAGGTCCTATGAACCAGCCTTTGGTCCCCACGCATACGTGGCTCAGTGGAGACTCTAGGCCCACACACATCACAGGAAGCAGCATTACCAAATAGAGCTAACACTTAAACCATGTCCCATTTCTAAGATGATCTGGATGCAGATCATATTCATACAGACCTTATTCTAACCACCAAATATGAATGAAAGATGATTATAAGCACATATCACAAATTGAGACTTACAGCTCTTTGGTAACACAACTTCTTGGTGGTGGTGTAGTATTTCAGACCCATGCCCTACAGCTACTGCAGCAGAGTAGGAGCACATTGCAGCAGCATTGTACCCTGCTAAAAGTAAGGCAGCACCCTGGTAATATTAGACAGCAGTACTGAAGCTGTGGTTGGAAAGGCTGGAAGGAGAGCTTAAAAGGTATTATTCTTCCCACGGGCTAATCAGCAGGCACTGTTTTACTGACATTGGATGCTACCTATCTTTCTTAAACTTCCACTTAATAAACCTCTTCCTGCAGTCCCCTCCCCATGGGCATCCATCAGAGTTACTAAACAGGTCTGCAGCCTCTTGAGTGGAGAGACAACAAAGAGGGCTGGGATGGGATGGGTCTCTAACATGTGCATTTTATGGGGAGTGGAAAGGGAGAGGGGTGTGCTTGTTTGACATCAGAAAAACAGCAGTTTCCCCAGCACTAATCCTGAGTATTCACCTGGTATGTGACTCTGGAAGGCTTGGCCTTAGCCATAAGCTGAGATTCCCTCTCCCTGTCCTAATGAATGCCCCTACAGTTGCTCAACCCAAAAGCCCTCTCTGAAATCTCCCTCCTTGGTGTGGTCTGCATAATACACAGTGGGCTCAAGAAGTACCACCAGGCTGGTTGGTGTCACTGCCTGGTTCTGCACAAGCAAAGTGCTAGGCACTATCTGGAGGGAATCCAGTGTGTTCTGGAAGATGAAGATCAGCTAATCCAGAGCTTCTCTCATGCTCATTCTCTCTCTTTCTCTAGTTCAGGAAAGCTGGAGAGCTTTTAAGTACCTGACAACTATACTGGCAGCAACGGGAAACACCAAATAGCCCAAACTTATTGTCCAGCCTTGCAGCAGTAAGGACTAGCTCTCTTCTAGGGAGGTATTAGCGCCATGAAGGGCCAGGAAGAGGAGCTGGCAGTGTTCCCGCCTCACTTGGCCCGGTACTTGAGGAAAGCCTGATGACAAGTGCAATGCTGAGCCTGACTCTTGGCCCGTGGAAAGCTGCAACAGGTGAATGACGTATGGAAAAAACCAAAGCCGTCTGACTGCGGAGATCCTCTAGTTATTGCCCCCTCGTACTGACAAGCACCCGGCTTTCACCTTTCCAGAGGGTGATGCAGGCTGTTCTGCTTTCCTTGCGTAAGGGGCCAGCAGCTCTGTGTACTTCGCATATGCTGAAGAGATCTTCTGCACCAGAAATGAGGACACAGGCAGCCTGACAGACCAAGGTATTGCTTGCACCTTTGGCCCTCTCCTCTTGCCCAGGCCGCGCTCAGAGCAGGAAGGACAGACTCACTACACAGAGGAAACATCTGCACCACCAGACAAGCCAGGGTTTCCCCAGTGAGATCGTGGGGGAGAGGAGACCCTGTGATTGGTGAAGGGAAGGCTGCAGTTACCAGATAACACCTGCTTGTGTTGGAAAGGCCATGGGGAAAAGGAGCAGAGCCAATTAGACTCACCAGTCAATGGAGGAGAAGTAACGGGATTAAGATACAGCAGGGAGAATTCAGGTTAGATATAAGGGAGCGGGCTATCATGAGAGGAGCAGACTGGGCCATCGAATGAGCTGCCAAAGGAATCGTCATCACTGACACAGACATGGCAGAGAGCAGACACAAAGTCTGCAGGAAGAGCAGACGCCTGACTGCTGCTCAGCCTGGAGCTGTGGCGGGTGGATGTCTGTATGCCGAGGAGATGGGACCACTCTACCATGGAGAGGCTGTGCACCAGAACAGGGACAGACCGCCTCTGGATATCTGTGCTGATAACCTGGGCCGCAAGGAGAATTAAATCAGCTGCTCTTTGCCCAGGGCACTAGGGTCCCTCGCCAACACTTAGGAGGCAACCTGTACATGCACGCCCTTTCTGCCAGCTGCATCCCGTGCCAGGAGTGGGAAGGGAGAGCCCAGTTGCCTACCATGAACTTCCTTGCCTAGCTAGACATGCTGCCCTGCCATTGCAGGCAGGGAGGAGGACAGGGAGCACAACCCCAGTTTCAGTCTGTCCTCTTCAGCTCCACCACTTCTCTGCCAAGCCACCAGGCAGCTCCTGCCCAGTCCTGCTCCCCTCCCATGCCCAAGTGTGCCATCCCCTGTTTCTGAGCCTAAGACAGGGCAGGAAGGTCTCCAGCCTGGCGAGAATGGAGGGCAGCTCCACAAGGTGCAGTGGGGTAGCAGGGCCATGAATATGAGGAAGGGGATCTCTGAGAAATCCTGACATGCAGCAGGGAGCACTGACTAGAGAGGTCCCACTTCCCAGGGTGCTGTTGGTCTGGGGCGACCACAGACCATGGTACTGGGACTACATCTGGGACCTGACTGTGGCTGGCACTATGTGCATGGGGAAGGTGTTCAGCAACAGAAAGATGGCACGGATCCTGCTGGCCAAAGTGCCTCAAAGATACATGTGTCCACCTGGATAGACCACCTCCAGAATAAGATTTCATGGGTGAAAATGGGGCCAGAGGAACAAGTTGAGGCAATCTCATTAAAAGGCCCAGAAAGAGCCAAGGACAAGGTGCCTGAAAGCAGAACTCTGCTGCAGGTGCTAAAGGACAGGGGCAGAGAGACCCTACAGATTACATCCCTATTCTGAGGACTGTCTTTGCCCCAGGGAACTAAAAGGCCTGCCAAATCTTAGATAAATCCATCTGTCCAAGGCACCTTGGAGGCTGGAGATAGAAAGACAAGCCATCACAGCCTAATTTAAGCAATGTGTAGGAGATTTCAAAGAGAATATGTTGGGAAGGACAAGCTGACCACATTCCTCACTAATGACCCATTGCAGCTCCACTGACTGAACATCTCCTGATTCACTGGGACATACAAGGACACACCATTATCTCCCCAGAGTCACGAGGACCCTCAGCATTGGCCCTGGCTTACATTAGGCCCTTGGAGAGAGAAGCACAAGCACACAGCAAGCCAAATGTCATCACAAAGCAAGGAAATTCCAGGGCAGCCAAGGGGGCTTTAGCCGCTTTCACCCATTCTGAATCCATGTCAATAATAATGAGAATAAAACGCAGAGAGGGATGTGCCCACACCAGACACCTTATGCTTCTCTGTTCTCAAAGGGACCCTCTTATTTAACCCAACATCTAGGTCTGGTAGCAAGAGTAAGGGCAGATGACAAAATGGAATCATAACGGAGTGACATTTTAAGGGACTTCCTGTTCAAACTGCCATTGTTTGGAGTCTAGCATTTGAGATCCAGGACAAGCTGACTTAAAGGGCAAGAGACACTGACCAGGACATGCAAGGCACCAAGAGCAGAAGAACAGACAGCTCTGGGAGCAAAGCCAAGTGGAGCCTTACAACACCCACAGGCACTGACCGCCCCAGGCTTGCCAGCAAGGGATGATTTTCAAAAGAGGACTGATGTGGTGAAAGGGTGCATTTGCAGCCTCCCCAAGATCTAGGAGGTGAAGCAGTACAGCAGCATGACTAGAGAAACAGACCCTTCATTAACAGTTGGCAGGAGTAAGATGGGCTGGACTAAATACAATGCCTCACTGTTTGCTGTTACATCTTGCCCTTCTATGATGGAAGCAGAGGCAGACACCAAGCTTGAATGCCCAGGCACTAATGGACTTGCTCTTGTCACCCAAGACCTGCTGCTCTCAGCCGTTGTCTGCCCCAGCTGATGAGGGAAGCACGGTGAGGCTGAGGAGCAGTGCTCTCTGGAGAAATCGCTGGCTGATTTGGCATGCACTCCCCCAAAGAGCTGACTGAAAAGGAGGCAGCTTTTCTGAGAACAGGGACACGAGAGATCTGGGGATGTGTTGACAGAAAAGGAAAAGCTGGGTGTCTGCACACTGCAGCCACCAATGCAACTTCAGTGACATGAAGGCTCCTTGCCCAATATCACCGAAATCCTTTCCAGCAGGATAGAATGGGCAGCACAAAGCTCAGAGCAGGCCAACCTGCCCTGACAAGAGCAAGGCAGAGGAGCCCAGGGGTTAATGGGCTACACAGAAGCCACCTCACTTCTCACAGCCTCACACCTCTCTGCAAAAACCTCTGCAGTGCAAACCGCTCGGTTTTAAGCAGGTTTCCCTCTAGCATATCCCCAGCCTCTGTTCTGCAGAGCATCCCCCACAGCAGATGCCTCCCTCTCTGCCACCTGTGGGTCCTGCTCCCACAGTGCGGCCTCACAGAAAGGGAATCCCTTTGCTCCTCATTTCCCCAGCCCAGGTTCCTGACGCTCCAGTGTGCTTTTGTATTTCTCCCTCTCAGCCCCTCAGAGCTCTCTGCCAAAACCAGCCTGCCAGGAGCCTGCAGCTCAGAGTCTGCAGCCAGAGCCCAGCCTGATCGCATGCAAAATTCACTCTTACAGACATGCACCAACCTGCTGCTCTATTATCAATTGGTGAACTGCAGCTGAACCTACCATAGCCTGCCTTGATGCTTGTCTGAACTGACTAGGACTCACTTAAAAGCCAGGGAGGGACCCCAGCCACTTGACACACCACCTATTGCCACAATGCCTGATCCTTCCCCCCTTTCCCAGCTCATCAGGGCCTCCCGTTTTCTCTTTCCAGCTAAGCCCTCCTCCAGCAAGCAGATCAGAAGCGCCACAGATCTCCGCTCCATCTGGGTTTGCACATTCATCTCTTCCCCAGTGCTGCCTGCCTGCTGTAATCCCAAACAGAAAGCCCTTTACCTAGGGGATGCCGACTCTCAGAGCTGGCGTGCCGACGCTTCCTAAAGAGCTGAGCCTGGGATCCTCTGGAGGTGGTGCCATTCCCAGCAGTGAGAACAGAGTAACAGTCGGTGCATGGTCTAAAAAAAAAAAGTGGGGAGGGTGGGGAACGGTCGGGGGGAAGGAGAAGGGCTGGATTCATGGCTTTCAGCCTTTGCTCTAACCTGCTGCTAGCTCCACGTGCCTGGATGCCCCAAATCTTTAGGCACAGGCAGTTACACGCCGCTCCCAAGGGGCATGTTCCCCTCCACCCTGCAAGGGGTCTTGCTCCAGCATGGGCAGCGGGGTGGGCAGAGGTGCAGCAGGGCGCTTTCTGGTGGCTGCTGGTTCCTCGGAGCACGAGCCAGCCTGGAGCCAGGGCTGGGAGCCAAAGCACTCCCCTCCCTGCATCAGGCCTGTCTTTTTATTCCCCCCTTTGGATCTTGATGCCATGAATTATGGTTTTGGGGTTGGTTTGGTGGGGTTTGTTTGGTTGTTTTTTTGCATGTGGTGGACGGTCTAGAGTTCTGTGCCATGCCAGGGGGAGCATCAGCACTCACCCCTCCGGGAGGTCACAGCCACGGTGCGGGGAGCTTTTGCTGGCTGCTGGAGCGAGATGCTGTGTCCGCTCCATCGGGATGTCCTCCTAGGCCATCTCCCTCCCCTGCACTCCTCTCCCCAGATCCTGCGCTGGCTCGGGCCAGGCAACAGACAACGAGATCTCACCGCCCTCTGCTTTCACAGTGAGGTCTCCACACAGGACCCGTTGCGGTGGAGGTGACGGTGGTCGTGGTTCAGGCAGCCTTCGTTGCGATGCACGATGAGGATGGGGAAGTAGAGGGCATCCTGGTAAGGAGGGGGGTCTTCCTCCTCCACAGTCACCTGGCTGGAGAGGCGGGTCTGCTCGGTGGGGCAGCTCTGCTCATTCAGGCTCCCGCTCCGGCTCTGCCAGAGGCAGCTGCGTCGTGAGCCGTACAGGCGGCCCAGGGAGAAGCGGCTGCTGCTGAAGGGGATCCTGGGGCTGCCGTTGCAGATGCTCAGGGCACTGCGGGAGAAGATGGAGGAGCTGCTTATAGTCCTGTGGCACCGCTCGCAGTTCTGCCGGTAGCCCCCATACCGGCAAGCAGAGTAGCTGGTGCAGCCAGAGAGCCCCACCAAGTCCATCAGGACTGCTTCTGAGTAGCTGGGCACCAGCTGCTGGTTGGATCGGATGTGCCACTCCAGCTCGGTGCTGTCCACTGTGTTGACGCGGGGCATCCTCCGGCAGAAGGAGCGCTCCTCAGCTGGCGTCACTGCCACATAGTCAAACCCAAAGAGTTTCTCCACATGGTAATGGACGTAGGAGGTGCGGTACTCATTTAGCACCCGCAGGGGCCAGGATAGGGTCAGCAGAGCCGCCACCCAGAAGACATAGTGGGATACGTACCAAGGCAGGTTGTCTGGGTCGGAAAAGGCCACCATGTATTCCTTGAAGTCCACGTTTTTGAGGTGCATCCCCTCCCTGGCCTCCATGTAGTCATCTAGGCCCTCGTTCTCGGTGAAGAAGCGGGCCCGCTGGGTCAGGTAGGAGTTCTCTGACTCCACATTGGCAAAGCTGAAACACTTGGTGAAGCGGAGCCGCGTGGCCGGGTAGCTCTCCAAATCAATGAGGTCCTTGGAGATGTCCTTAACTCCACAATTGGAATAATCAAACTCGGCCTCTGCCACGTGGGTGTTGACCCGCTCATGATACACCTGGGTGGTGGTGTAGGCATCCCCGTTGCGGTAGCGGGTAACCTGCCGGGTCCTGCGGACGTAGTGGTAGCTGATGGCCTTCCACCAGATGCAGGGTGTTGCCTGCTGCATCCGCTGCACACGCTCGTGCACACTCTCCACGTCCACTTTGTACTGCAGCTCATTGCGGGTGTAGCAGTGCCAGCACTCCACCAGGTACACCACGTAGAGCATCACCAGGAAGGCCAAGGGGATGTAGACGTAGCCGTTGGAACAGGGGCTGTCATGGTACATCATGGACTTGCCCTTGTAAGCGCTGTCAAAGGTCAGCCGGGTCACCTTGGTGACGTGGCACCAGGTCATGGCTCCCATGCAGCCATACATGAGGAGGGACAGCAGCAGGCATTTCCAGTGGGACTCTCGGCACAGGGACTTGCTGAGAGACTGCTTCACCGGCCGCTGCTGCTCCGGGAGACCAGGGAGAAGGGGAGAGAAAACAAGAGAGGAGTCAGTAGGCTGCAGCAGCAGGGGGAAGGGGAGCAGGTAGCAGGGTGCTGCGGTGGCACCTGTAGCTCCACGAAGGGGGACAAAACAGCAGATGCCATGGGGCTCCTAGCCTCAGCAGGCAGGCCGGAGGCTGGGATCTCCCCCAGGATGACAGTCCTGCAGTGCAGGCAGCTGTCAAGCCCCCCTTCCCTTTGCTGTGCTCTGCCCCTCCATGGGAGATGGCCAGAGCCCAGCTGGACATGAAGGAGAGCAGCAGAGGGCAACTCTGCCAAGCTGCACCCTGAGCATCCCCCTTCTTCAATGGCAGTAACCCCCACCACTGCCACGTCCTGGGCAGGGGTACTGAAGCACACAGCAAGATGGAGGCTGGGGGAATCTCCCCTGCATATCTCAACTCCTGGCACCCATCCCACCAGCACAGCCAGCTCTAACTGATGGGTTGTCCCACCTGAACACTTCACCACAGCTCATCCCACCACGCCTCTCACTGCTCTCACTCAAGTCTCTCCCCCTTTCCCAGTCACGACCGACAGCAACATTCAAGTTTCTCCCACCAGGGCAGCATAAGCGACCTGGGGTGCCTGTAAGGCAGAGAAACGGACCTTCAGCAGCTGAAAAGGCCTCTGTTTGGTAATGGCAATTACCACCTCAACACTTGGCAGCCCAAGGGGCTCTGAAGTGTTTCTCAAGTGCTGTACAAACCACACAAACAGGAAAGTACTCTTCCATGACGGAAATGCAACCGCCTCTGGTGGAAGAGAAAGCGAATATGGAATAACATCCTAAAAGGTGTTCAGTCAGGCAGTGAAGAGCACCTTACCGATCTGCCACAGCAGGGAGGGCAAGTGGCCAGTCACAGCTGCCAGCAAGTGTCACTGCCTGCACTGGGGTTTTTTTGGGTGTGACAGCGCATACTTCTGGAAAAACTGCTCACGGGTCTTTCATGGTGAGGAAAGGGCAGGACTTCAGCAATAGGACTTTTAAAAGGGATTGCCCTGGTGCCTTCACCATAGGAACCATGCAGCTTTTTACAAAGACCAGGGAAAAAACCCACTCAAGGAAACCTCTGCCACTCTCTGCAACACCCTGAAGTCTCTAGTATTGATCCAGCTTGGCCCGTGAGACCTGACATTACCACACCCAAAGGGAGAACATGCAAAGAGGTTATTTGCTTTCTTATACAAAAGACTTCATCCAGCCCAAATGCCATCCAACCCAGCAATCTCCAAAGATGCAACCTGAGAGAGGGGGGCAAGAACCCCAACCTTGTGCAGTCACCACAAAACTCAGTAAGAGGCTTCCAGCTTTGCTCTCCCTCCCCAGCTGCATGCAGCACAGCTCCTGAGCTCACCTCCACCATTGCAGGGACTAACACCAGCTGTAACGAAACCACTCAGAGCAGTGAAGTTCAAGCCTGACCCCATCCCTCCTCCATTACTGAGCGCACCGGGCTGGAGGAGTCTTTCATCCAGGAATCCCAAATTGCTGAATGGGCTCACGCTGCTAGAAAGCAGGGGGTCACTCTCACTCTTGCATGAAAAGGAAATTTAAAGCAAGAACCTGAGGTCACAACACCACTAGCATGTCTAGGGACAGATCTGGGCCTCACCTTTCCTCTAAGAAATCTCCCCTACTCTCCCTGGAGACCCCCTCAGCCCTGGCTTGGTCCCTTAGAGTCCCTCGTGCTAGTCTTTCCTCCCTATACCTTGCCAAAGCCTGGCCCACCCCATGCCAGTGGGACTTCTGCCACTGTGATTAGGAGGGCTGGATCTGGCCCAAATCTCCAACAGAGGTTTCTCTCCTGGAGGCAGGAAGCTTGCAGCCCAGCAGCCAGCCTGCAATGAGCGGAGCAGGCAGCACATCCAGAGGGACCACCAGTGGCAAGGGGAATGGTGGCACATCCTGCTGGGCATCCCGAGCATCAGTAGTGCTGAGCCCTCCTCTTTGCGGCCACCGGCTGAAGGCAAGAGCCGGAGACAGAGACACAGAGCCCAGGGAAGGCAGGTGGGGTAGCACTGGTCTGCAGGCAACAGGGAGACATGTGGGGCGGCTCTGCTTGGCAGCTCTGGCATGGAGACGTGCGTACCAGTCTTCCCAGTGCGACCCACCACTTCATGGGGCAAGAAGGAACCCCGGGTAAGAGAAAAGGGAGTGAGGAGAGGAAGGGGGACCACCCAGCAGGCAGAGCTGCCTGAGCTGCACCCTCTCTGCTCAGGTCCATGCTGCGGTTACAAGAGCCTGCCCGGATCTCTCTGGCTTTGCTCAGCTGCAGCACAGCTCTCCCATGCTGGACTGCTGTGCCACTACCCAGGTGGCTGAAGGTTTCCTCTCCCACAGCTGCCTTCTGCATTGCAAATCTTCCCCAGCAGTGTCAGCCCTGGCTGTGAGGCTCTAAGGGGACTGCTCCACCAAACCTGGAGCATGGGAAGGGTCTGAATGGGGGCCTCAAGTTGATGCAAGGCACACACTAACCCTGGGGTGTCTGTGGGGTGAGAGGGCTTGCACAGAAACAGTGCCTTGTTCGGTGGGAGGGGGATCTGCAAATGGAGCACAAGGAATAAAGCAAAGCATTCGGCTTGCTCATTTGCCAGGTTGGGGAAGGGGCACCAGGGAGACAGGTCTTTGGCCAGGTCCATCTTGGAAAAGCAAATTCCACCTCCCAATCGCTCCCTGGCCCCTCACATTCCGCACTGCCTGCATCGTCCTGCTCAGGAGAAGGGCGATGCTGGCTGTCACCCTGCAGAGATGCAGACAAGCCCCACTGCGGCTACCCACCCAGGGCAGGGCGGCAGGGAGCATGATGCAGCCCAGGCTTGGTTCCAGGAACTGTGTTAGCAGGGCTCTAGTCCACGCATTAGTCTCCTCCTAGGACTACGCAGCATTTAGATACTGCAGCGCTTCTACAGGGTCACGCTAACCCCTGCTGTAAACTGTTTACAACCCAGTTTTGTCCTAGGCTTTTGAGGTAAAACACATACACATCAGCCACACTGGTGGGGTTTCTGAAAGCTGATCAAGTGCCAATGACAGGGGATACAAC